TAATTACATGTATATGGACCAAGGACTCTTTCCCTGACACAGGTAGAACCTTCAATTACTTTCTTTCTTTTTTTTTTTTTGAGAAGGAAAAAAAAAAAGGACCTACCCATTCCTGCAGCGTGATGCAAAGCTATTGCCCCCGAAGCGCTAGGTGTTGCAGGATCAGCACCTTGTTCTATGAGGTACTGGACAGTAGCAGTGTGTCCTTGACGAGCAGCATGAAGAACAGGAGTCTCACCTATGAAGAAACAACGTATTCAAAGCAAAATACAGCAATATCACTCTCAGCACAGATCAATCAGTCAATCAATAAGAGCCTCAATGTCAAATAAGTTGGGATAAGTAACACGACATGTATTTGAGTCCACCATTCCAACATTGATGAATATTTAGTCTTGCAAAGCAAATTAAGGGTTTTCTAAAATTTGAGGCTCCCTAAATTTTAGGCTTGTCCTACGCCAAGACCTAATGGAACTGTACAACTAAGCCCTGATAACAACCAATTGGTATCACCTATATCGTCAGTTGCATATTTGAGTCCGCCATTCCTATATTGATGAATAATTTGTCTCTCAAAGCAAATTATGGGTTTTCCAAAATCTGAGGTTCCCTAAATCTTAGGCTTGTCCTACCAAGACCTAATGTAAATGTACAAATAAGTGTTAATCACAGCGAATTGGTATCACCTATATGGATAACTTTCTTCTATTGTTTTGTATTATATCCAAGTCAGTGTTGATTGTCAGAGATTTTAGATCTTTTGAGATAACTTCCCACCCTTGTAATTTTAGTTCTACCTCGTCCCCTTTTAGCACCTTCAACATCATAATATCGCACCTACAGAATGGTGCATTTTGAGGCCTGCATATGACACAGCCAAACCACTACCAAAGAGACCTTCTCATCTTATTATCGACGTGTACTACTTGCATAATTTAGTTATTTCTAATTTTGTCTAATCTTGTATGACTGCACATCGATTTAACGTTGGCATTTTTATGGCACGTCTTGTTGACAAATTGAGTGCATCATCAGTTCGATATTCACTCTCATATAATATTATCGGTCTCACAACAATTCTGTAGAACTTGCCTTTCATTTTATTAGGCATCTTCATATCTACATTAATTACATGTGCCACATCTTCGTCTATCATATCATTCTATTGAAAGATTGAAAGACAAAACTTAAAGACTTGAATTGTCCGAACTTAGGCACGACAACATTGTCAAATATTTGGAGGAACAAAGAAAACATTTAATTTCAAATGGTGCAACTCCACCAAAATGCTTTGATGCCAAGTAGATCCAAAAATGATGCACAACTTTTTCTTCTAACATATAAGAAAGCATCCAAACAGTGCTGTCTCAAATCAAAGTTGAACCAAATAAGAGGCTGCTTAAATTTTAAATTTTTCTTTCGCAATAAGAATTTGGGCTCCTGAAATATGATAACCAAACAGTGCCTAAGAAAATACATAGTCAGCAACATGAATGCAGGGTACCTGAACCAAGGTACATAATTCTGAATTTTGTGCCTAGAAGATTCTACATTTATATACATTAGGCCACACCCTTGGGTGCATCTTACGATCAAACCTTAAAGAGGTGAAAAAAAAAACCCCTCAAGTTTCAATCAGGACAAAAAAAATAGAGCCAATTCAATTAGGTCCTGCGCACATAATGATGAACGAAGATAAATTTAATAGTGGAAATTACCTTCTTCATCTTTTGTATTGACATCAAGCTTCAACTCTTCCACCAAGAACTCGCAGAACGCAGTCTGGCCTTCTCTAGCAGCAAAAATTAATGCCCCTCTTTTGTTAGCATCCTTCACATCCGCCACCGTCCCGGCCAACCCTTTCCCATCATCCAGTTGCTTTGCCAAATCTGTTTCCACAATCATCATTACCATATAGCAGAAACTGAAATCCAAAAATAACCTTGAAAACTTACTCTTGAAAAGCGCAATGTTCCCCGAACAAGCAGCATTCAGTAACTTCATAACCTTTTCTCTAACTGCTCAAACAATATCAAAGATTTATTTGTTAATAACATGCTTACGTTATTTGAAATTTCTCAAGAAAGGCAAAAAGTGGAAGAATTTAAACCTGCAAGAGCATCAGCGGCATCAGCAGCCATAACTGAGAGAAAACTTTGTGCTTCGGCAGAAGCTTCTGGGGTTTATGTAGAACAAGGGTTTTGCTGTATTTCAAGCAGTTGGTACCCTGTTTGAATTCGAGTCAACCCAATATATCTTTCGGGGTTTTACCCGTAGTACAGAAATTGTGTCGCATGAAAAACGCGATTTGTAACACGTACATGGTAAATGCGACTTAGGATGGTAAGTTGATTTATTAGTCACGTATGATATACTAGTATGGATAGCCCGTGCAGCACGGGCCCAGTAGCAGTATATCTGGCGGCAAAGCTAGAATTTCATTATGGATTAAACTCAAAAGTTTTTGGTTCAAATTTTAAATTTTCTTTGATAATTTATTGAATATGTATAAAATATTATTTAAGAACTCTAATAACTTAAAAGGATTGAAATTCATAACTCGCTTTAAATCTTCGATGTGGCTGTGAGTATGCTAAACATTTGAGTCCATCACCAAATAACATGAATAAATTTTTAGTTAACTTGTATATATTTATGTAAAACAGTTGTGAATAGGTTCTCTGGCAATTCTATCTACCGTTTAGAACAATACTATTTATGATTTTGACACATATAATTAGCATTAATATAAGAATAATTTAACTAAGTAATCTCTTATATCTTCATTTTGGACTTATAAATTTTATTTTTTAATAAATCAATGGATATGTGCATTTCTTCATTGAATTTTATGATTCATCCTCAAACGATTAGAGGCTGAAGGAAAATGAGTAACAGGACATTTTAAGTTTTTTCAAATTCAAAACAGGTAGAGAACTCCATAGCAGCTTCTGTGGATTTCCTTTGTCGTTTGGATATTTTTATTATACAAATTCAAGCGTTGAAACATAGCAGGAAATTATTTGCTTACTAATTAACCTGAAAAATATAAATGAAGCTCACGCACTTACATGGCCAGAGAAAGCAATATAGTTACTGCAAATAACCACATGTTTCAAGGAAGCCTTAAAAAGTGAAGGTGAAAATTTGAGTTAAAAGGTTTTTCAAGTTTATCTAGTATAAAATCAACCACATTAATGAAACTAAGCATCTATTATAATAAATATATTCACTAAATAATCTTGTTATTATTTAAGTCTTGTGTTATAATCCTCATAGTATAATTCCAGGAAGCACACATGTTGACCATGAGGTGATTGCTATTCCCTCTTATTAATAAGTAAAATAAAATAAAAAAGAATTGAATATAAGATTGATATTGAAAAAGAGTGAAGAGTTGTTGTGATTATATTTTTATAAATAAAAAATACATGCTCGATCTATTTTTTTTAAATGGTTGATACTATTATTAATTTTTTTAAATGTGGTGATATTTTCTTCTTCTTTTTGCTAATGTACGTTATTAGATTTATTTGTGTAAAAAATTATTAAATGTCTTGATATCTCCTTTTATTTTCATGATGCTCAACTGATTTGCTTTTATACAAGAAGGAAATTACAAGACAAAAGTTGTACTATGCTGATGATGAAGATGCTGATGAAATGAAAAGTTTCGTGGGGCCCAATCATTCTAGTAAAGCGAAAGTACTGACATCGTAATGATGTAACATAAGAAAAGCTGCCACAACCCAATCAAAAGTAGAGGGTATAATAGTCAAAGCAGGCCAAAATTCTTTTTTAGCCAATCAAATTCTTCTTTTTAAGACTCAAGAGCTCTTACACGACATCTTTGTTAAAATACAAAATAGGTGTAAATATCTTAAATACCCTTAGATGAAGCAGGCATGTTGATCATTACGTGCCTGCTTATCCTCTCTTATATAATAGTAATGATAATGATATAAGCTAAATAAGTCACTTTTTTCCCGTAGTACTAAATTTACTTATTTACCTACCATACCAGATATTTCAACCCTTATGATACCATTTGTTAGTATTTGTCCTGGACTTCAGGAAACTCCAACCTCTCGAATAAGTGAATTTTGTCAATAAGGTCTATATTTATTTTTTATGGTAGAACTTTATTAAAATCAAGAACAAAAATAGAGATGTTTGTCTAAGGTTATGAATAATGGGTAAAATTAAGATATTTTTATATAATAGAAGGTAGTTTGACCATTTTTCCTATTAATCAATCAAGTAGGTAACCAATAAATTTACTTGAATGACTAGCAGTCCTACCAAAACGACTAATTATTCGTTAAGAGAGTATCAATAAACCATACTACGATCTCATATCTCTTGCTATTTTCTTCCATAACAATTGAATTTTGTTTAGTGTACGGTCTCCCTTCATCTAGTATTTATGCTTTCCTTAAATGCATGTCTGCATTCGCTTAAATAAGTGCCAATCTTTCTACAACATTAATATAGGAAGTGAGGAACTAAGTTACTTTCCTATAACACAATCAACAAAACATTATCATTTGTGGTGAATTTGATTGTCTACAGCTATTTAACTCAATAGACTCGATCGGAATTTTTCACTAGCTAGCAATTTCTCTAGTACGTCAAGGACTAACAAGTGAAAATCTTGAAAGATAATGTTCCTATGTTTTATATGATTTCAATTAGCGTATAAATTTCAGATCGATCTGACAAAACTCTTAATTATATGGGGCTATCCTTAGCTTGGAAATCCAACAGTAGACTAGAGTTAAATAGGAAAATGTTCCAAAAAAAAGTATTCTAGTAAACTATTATCAAACGTCGTTAGTCAATTCTAGTTAATCACGTACGATTATAAAATGGAAGACTTTTTGGTCCAGCTTTGATGATGACCACATCGTTCGTTGAAGACTAGATTGACATGGATCTTAATGACATAATGCACAGTTCACAACTAGCTTCTATGCTCGTGAGCAAGAATTCAATGCTTCTCATTAGTAAAAGCAGCACTTTGACTTCATATAATAGCCAGTTAAAACCCATAAGATATTATATATTTACATAAGAAGTGCTCTAAAAATTTAGAGCTTCCATATCATTGCCCTGATCTTAGTCCCCAAAACAAAATGTTCCAAAGTCAAACAAAAAAACTAAAATTGTTTGAAATATACATATTGGGAATCAAAACCCAAATTTTGGTGGGAATCGAAAAGCTGCTAGAAAAATTAATGTCGTCTATTGAAAAATTAGAAGAAGTTGATCTCTTCAAACCAATGAAGCTACTTCTTCACTCCTTGCCTTGATACACAAACCAGCAGAAAGGTGCAGTACTGCCATTAATTGACTCAAGACGAAAAGAAGAAAATTTCTAGTTCTTGAAATTAGACACCAGGTCAGTTTTGACTATATTTTCTACTAATATATAGTCCAAAGATCTCCAACCCTTTAATAAGACTGCTTGACAGAACAAGCCACTGCCTGTGCCCAATGCCTCAACTTTGTCTTAACTTGTTGAGGATCATCACCTGCATGCACATATTATCAAAAACACCAACATTATCAGAACTATATATTACCAATACCCTAGCTAATAGCTTTATTAACTATGGAAATTACTTAGATAAGAGTTATTGCATCAATAATTAATTAGCATTTGTTCTGATGTCAAAGGGATATGATTCACAGTTGTTCTATCTAGATTATATAAGAATCATAACCTTTTCACTATAACAATTTTGACCTTTACATTTGACTTTCTTAGCCTACATAAGAAGCATAACCTAGACGTTATTTAATTCCTTCATCGTTGTGTGTGTACTCTTATTTAATTTCTCCATTTTCTCATTGTTTTATCTTTAAATTAAAGAAGAAAAAAAAACTATAGAAGCCTAATTACCTGGGCTACAAATCTTCCATGCATCAGCAGGATCACTCCTAGGGCTTCCAAATGACGAGGATCTACCTCCAAGTCCAAGAGAAGTTGATGAACCTGGAGAGGATAAGGAACCTTTATGGCTACCTGCAATGGTGTAGCCACACAAAAGGCAGAGCGGTCAGTTGAACACCCTTTGTCAAAAATTTATATTATGTATGTATATAGGTACGAAAAAATTTTTTTATATATATATAATGTGTAGACTATTAATGAAATTTCTGATTTCGCCACTGGCTACCTGGTGAAGATATAGGGCTCGTTGAATACTGGCGATTCACTGCAAAATAAAGATCTAGCGCCGGCAACGTGCCACAAAGCCTCTGCCCTTCTTCTTCATTAAATCCAAACCCTAATTCTATGCAACCTTTGAGTTCGTTGAGGTCCTCGTCGGTCACATCGTCATGATCTTGAATCCCAATTATATTCTTTTTCCTCTCTTGATAGAGAAATTGACGACGTCGTTTCTCCCATGCAATGTCACGTGGAATCTCACACATGGAAAGTTGCTTCGATAACCTCTTATTAGGGTTCCTCCAAAAGGGTGGTGCCTCTTCTAAACGCTGTAACTCCTCGCACTCTGATAATTCACTCGAAGACGACGATGGTGATGATAAATGTTTCTCCTGGTCCGCATGACTAGTATTAACCTCCCCCATGTTGAATAGTCAGATCAAGATATTCGACTTTTCACATACAGGGAAAGTTAATCTTTAACAAAAACAATATCACAATGATAATACAAATCGTACAATTAGTTAAAATAATTAGACTTTTGGTGAAGAATGATGGAAACAAAAATAGGCTGCCATGGCGGGTTTAGAAAAACGACCGCCTTGGCTAGCCGTTAAAAATGTGTGGGGTGAACAAAGATAGACTATATAAAGGTCGATAGGCTATGGCTTTAATTTCTTTTTAAAAAAATGGAAATTTTGGCTTTTTATTGTATTGTAAAAGGAGGGCAATGGCATGCACTAAGGTTTAGGAAGAGTTTAATGTGGGAATACTAAGGGATGTACGGCCATTATTTGCGGTCTTTCCCTCTTTAATTTGCAACTCTCCATTCATTTGTAACGGCTAACGGTATTAAGAAAACTTGCTTCTTACATTTCTTGCATTAAATGACTCGTTAGTCATTACGTTTAAGAAGATTCTTTTAATAAGCTTGCTTAATTATTTATCAAGAAGATGAAGTACTCAAATTAACCCGTAATATTTGGTATGCTCCAGAGGTAGCCCGTCGCACAAAGCATTCCTAATATGCAAGCGCGTTAATGGCGGCTTTCACAACTCGAACTTCTTACTTATAGGTCATATCGAGACAACTTTACTGTTATTCCAAGATTCCCCTTCTTATGTTGGCATGTTCCATTTGGATTAAATTCACATAATTTATTAATGTTCCTTTTAATAAGTTCGTTTATTTATCGAAATTATTGCTCGACAACTGTGTATAAAGTACAAACCTAAAAGAGCACTGCAACTTATATTAAATACTCCAGTAATTAGAGTCATTTATATTAATATACATGATTAATTAGTATCAACAGCTTATTTAAATCATAAATAACCTTCCATCTTTCAAACAAAATAAGCCATCGTTATTATATTTTTAGTGCTTGGGATTAATTTTGTAGTAAAATTTATAAAAGATAAGAAATACTGAAAACCAAATTCTGAGTAAGGAAAGGCTGGAAATTTGATTGCTGGAATTGCTATTTAAACGGTGCAAGCAATCCAAGTGTCTTTTTGCGAGTCCGGATGCTTTAAATAACCGAAATCTCCAATTCCAGAAGTTTAATTATCAGATAAGAATCCTATCGATTTTTATATGACTAACGGAGTAGTTGGCATATTTGTATTGGTCAGAATCTGACCACACGATCACAGCAGCAAGGACCCCGTCCCGATCACCCCGCAGCAGCAATCAACAAACTCGACTTCGCCTAATCACTGCTATTTACGACACGAGTATCGAGGTCACCTCCCCGACCCGGCCCGAAAAAAATATGATAAGCATGAGGAGTTTTGGGCTATAAATAGAAGGCAGAAGAACCCCTTGGGGGGGGGGGGGGGGGATCCGGAGAACTCCAAGAGAGAGAGACAAAACAATCTTAGAGAGGGAGAGAGATTCCACCTCCAAGGAGGAAGAAAGAACTTGATTGTAATCTCCTGAACCTCTCCAAGGAGAGGCAGGCGGAATTTTTATAAGCAATAAAAACCTCCCAGGTGTCATTTCATTTAATTCTTCTATCTTTATGATTATGTTCTTCGATCCAGTATTAATTAATGTTGACTACGATTTGCCCCTTCTATATTGATTGATTTGCATAAAAAGTATTAAACAACTTTTGAGTCAAACAATTTGGCGCAGTCTGTGGGGATTTCCTAGTGAAAATACTTAGTTCTTCCTGGATCGAAGAAGAAGAAACACCAAGAAGAAAATTCGACTCAAACCAGAGTCAATGGAGGCGCATCAAACGAAAAAAAAAAGGAAGAGTCGAATGCCCCAACGGGAGCCAGAAATCTTCCGCCCCGTTGACCTCGAACAGCCCGAGCGAGGAAAGAAGTGATGCAAAATGTCCCCCCTACTCCTCCCGAGCGCCGGGCAAAAGGATGGAGCATCCACCACTCATCCACCATACTGTGTCAGGCCGGAAACCGGCGCAGAGGTGTTTCGAACGAGGAATCGAAAATTGCCTCGGGGCAACCTGAGTGCCACGGTCAGGCGAATAATCCTAGCACGGGTACAACATACAACCACAGGCCAAAACGAAGCCAACACTTAACGCCTGAGGCGTTGAACCATCGATGTAAACAAAAGGACCAACCTTCGCCATCAAAGTTCGACAGTTCGACCTCGCTCGAACTGGGACTCAGGCTAAGTGCCTTCGACATCAAAATTCGACAGTTCAACCTCGCTCGAACTGGGACTCAGGCTGTGCCTTCGCCATCAAAATTCAACAGTTCGACCTCACTCGAACTGGGACTCAGGCTAAATGCCTTCGCCATCAAAGCTTGACAGTTCGACCTCGCTCGAACTGGGACTCAGGCTAAGTGCCTTCGCCACCAAAATTCGACAGTTCAACCTCGCTCGAACTGGGACTCAGGCT